AGGCATTTAAACCCCCCCCCCCCAGTCTCTCCGCAAAAGCGGAGAGGCTAAGGGGAAAAGGAGGGCCATGTCTGCCCATCTCCCTTCCTGTCTCCAGCCAGCCTGGGCTGCGGGGCACTCAGAGAAGATCACACAGGGAAGCCAGGGATTTAATTCTCCCCCCTCAAGAGGGGGTGGGGCCTGAGCTCATTTCTGCCAGAGCGCTCCTCCGGGACCCTCCAGCAGGAAATTAGCCCTGCTTTTGCTAAGGGAAAGCTTTCCAGAATGAAGCAAAGAGACTGACTCATGCCAGTACTGTGCATTTCTCCCTTTTGTAAACAGTAAATTTCATACTGAAGCTTGGGGGGAAAAAAGGGAGGGCAATGAAAAGCAATAATTTGGTGCATTCAGTGGAATTTACAGACACTCATTCAAAGCACAGTAGCAAAATTAGGCCTTTGAAGTACAGGCTGTCTTTTGTTTTTAGATGTGGGATATTTTTATTTTGAATTTGTACAGAGCAAAATGGTGAGATCTTTACTCTACAGATAAGCTTCCAGGTCTGCCAGGATATATAGCAGAAAATGTGTGATGCAACATTTACTCTGCAGGATCTCTTTGCAATTGCACAAGGTCCTTTGGGCAGTTGTCATGTTTCTCTGGGTTGTCCAAAAACATACACATATTTCATATTGCGTTCTGCTCTCGTTTTGGTGTGGGGGCGGAAATTTTGGACACTGATGAAGGCTGATCTCCTGAATATGCTTACTAGGAACAAATCCCATTAAAATCTCTGAACTAAGCAGTGCAGTACACTCCAAAGTAAATCCCACTGAGTTCAATGGTTCTTACTCCCAAATGAGTGTGATTAGGATTCTAGCCTTAGCTACTAAATAAACATTTTAATGACTGGGCTTTTAGCACTGTTTATACTTTAGAGTACGATCTGCATAGAAGGCAGGAACAGGTAATAGGTGTTCTGATCAAATGGTAACAAAAATGTCAAACAATTTTGTTTGCTCAGCATGAATTCTAAAGAACCTGTAAGTGGCAGAAATTGAGAAAATGAAGGTCACCTTTGTTCAATATTCTAGTACACATGGAAAGTCTAGGAATGGTACAAGTAGGAATGAATGCTAAAGTTTTACACTCTCTTGAAATATCATAAAGTAAGTGTTTCCCAAAAACACCAACACTTCAGGGATGAAGGAACATGATCAAAATATTTTCCACAAAACAGTGGAGAATTTTCTACTGCTTATGTCACCTTGCCCAGGCCTGTCTGCCTCCAATCTAGGTGTGCCGTGAAGAGAGAATGAACCCTTCAAGAACAGGCATGTCAGAAAGCCTAGCAATAATAATTTGGCTAGGAGTGAACCCAGCAAGCAAGCTGAGTGTTCCCAAAACAGCATTGTATCACACTGGAAGGCAGCACTGGTGACCAAAACGGGAGGTGTAGAAAGTCACTGGAAACAATGACATGCAGCGGTTACTCCACTGGAACTGAGGAAGACCCAAGTTCAAATCCCTTCTCAGCCATGAAGCTACCTGGGTAACCTTTTGCCAATCATTCTCTCTCTAAGTCTAACTTGTATCACAGGATTGTTTGTGATGATAAAATGGAGGATGGAGAACTTATTGGCTATCTTCTAGCAATCCACTGCCTGGCTAAAGTTCTTTCATAGTTTAGTCTAGATCTAGAGTGAAGGTTAGGAAGATGTCCAACATGGCCCAGTAGGAACCTTGTCTTCTTGTACAGGACCACAATGAGGTGATCACTTAGACATCATCAATGATTGGGCTCCAAGATTCAGAGTATCTGAGGAGAAGCTGGGCTGCTCTTTACACAAGTCAACAATATCACCAGTTCCGTCATCAAATGAAACAAAATTGTTCCTGTGTTAAGTATTCTACCTGCCAAAAGAGACTGTGTGCATCTCCTCTGATGAGTTCAACTATGTCCCCAGTCTGGATGTGTAGTGGAGGGCCATCATGTGGTGCTGGCTGGGGTATTCCGCTGTAGTTTCTAATTACCTGCATTTTTGGTAAGCCTGTTTTTAAAAAAAAAAAAATAATAATCATAGATTAGTTACATGGAATAAAATTTACAGGGAAAACGTCTCCCATGTGATGCCCCACCCTCCAAAAAGTAATCGTTGAGTCTAGTTCTACAGCTGCTGCTACCAGCGTTGGAGAAAAGGTTGTTATCCACCAGAAACAGTATATTTTTGGAAATGGCCCCCCAGTCTATGGAATTATCTCCTGAAGAAAATTTACCAGATCCATGCCATCAAGCTTTTCAATTATTTTTGTTCCACAAGGCCTTTTAGTGTTACACTGCGGGTTTTGTTGTCTCCTTCTGGTTATGATGTAACATTTAATTGATGTTTTATTTAACAACTGTTAGCTACTTTGCAGACCATTTGCCATACAAAAATAACGCTGGCATGTACAGTGATAAGCACATAAATAAAGCAAGGTTCCAGTTATGAACCCTAAGGGAAAATCTAGCATTTCAGTGTTTTAAATAAATGTATTGCATCTAATGAGTAGTTTAGAGTGGGGAAGAAGAAACAGTTAAACATCTTTCAACATCTTATTGTACTTGACATATGAACTGAGTGATAAAAGGAGGAGATGCTTTTCCATTTGCCTTCCCTTCTCCCTCTCTCTTTCTGATTATTCAAGAAAAAATTTTCTTTAGGCTGCTGCTTAGTTCATAAAAGCACAGCACGTACAGTTTAATGGAAAAGAATCAATTTTTTCATCAGCTCAGTCCTGTCCTCCTATTAATTCCCTCTTGAGGCAATAGTCAATTTCATCACCATGGCGGCTCATCCTTTTCTGAGAGTGTACACAGCTTTGGTGCTATAAAATATTTATATCTTAAGGTTATCTTTCTAATTTTAGAGCCAAAAAAAGTGATAGATGCGATTAAGTAACACATTGGACACTGATAGAGAGAAATTCCACCGACTTGCATCAGTCTGACTCAAGCATCTCCCTGAAAAGGAAACATGTCCAAAGACAACTGGAATCACAACCCATGCCACGTTTCTGATACAATCATTTGAAAAGAAAAATCTCATTTTTCTTTAAGTGTTATTGAATTTACACAGTAATTTAACCTTTCAGTTGGACTCTACAAGCAAGAAACACTCTGCTGGGGCACTCTATGTTGCCTGTACTGCCCTTTCTAATGGTGTTAAAAGGGCATCTCCCACTGGAGCACAGATCTCTGTGTTCCTTTTACACACAAATGCATACACACAGGGACACAAAAATCCCTTTTATTTTTCCAAAAGAATCCAAGCTTTTAAAATAAGCGAAGGTGTTTCTCCCATACACAGTTAAAACAACAATGCCTATGTAAGCCATTCTAAACTATATTCAGGATAATTCTTCCCTAGTGCAACCCTTCAGAAAATATATTTGCGGAGACATACAGTTAAGCAAGTGGGAAAAGAAATGAAATGTTCTTCAAAACTCAACCCTTGGAGGCGGGAAAGGGTTCAGTAGGGCAGTGTTTTCCTAACCTGCGGGTTGGGACCCAAAGTGGGTCATAAAGCCTCTGAAAGTGGGTCGCAGGCCACCCTCCCTAATGATTGCTTCTGCCCTTTGGATATTTCTCTCCTCCTCAATATTTTCTCACATTCTTATCTCCTCCTATTTGTGACCATAATGAGGGGGGAACAGGCCCATAGCCAGTGGTGGGGCACTGAGTGTGGTGCCCCCTATTGAATTTGCAGTACCCCCATGCAGGGGTCGTTTCGTAGAAAAAGAGCTAGGGGAACTCATTAGCATAACTCATTAGCATATACCACACCCCCTGACATCACCAGAAGTGTGTCATAAGGTCACACCTCCTGACATCACCAGAAGTGTGTCATAAGGCCACACACCCCGCCCCCAACGGTCCGGGCGCCACCGGCGGCCTTGCACTGGAAGCAGGGGGCGGGGCTTCGTCATGTGCCCCGCCCCCATACCTCACCCGGGGGAACTGCGATCCCCCGCGATCCCCCCGAAATGACCTCTGCCCCCATGCCCTCTCTTTACCACACTTGTTTTCATCCTCCCCCTTGATTAGGAAAAGTTGCCCAGCCGTGCAAGGGGAAGGAACGACAGAGCCAAGGGGGAGGCAGCAGCAGCGAGAGAAGAAGGCAGCGAGCACAGGGCCTGTGATGAGGAAAAGCTGAGCCCGCTCCATGCTGCTGCTGCCTAGGGTTGCCAAGTCATTTTTTGTCAGGAGTGGGGGGCTCCCGGCCAGCGTCAGTTGCGCGTGACATGATGATGCCAGGCACGCTGGGGGTGGGGCCACGGCCATACGAGGGGAAACCATAGAGTTTTCCCTCGGATGGCCATGGCCCCGCCCCCAGCGTGCCTGGCGTGGTTGCGTCACTTCCAGGTGACACGCATGTCGGGGAGGAGTTCCCCCCGGGGCCCGATCCGGTGGCAGAGGGGAACGGGCCTCTGGGGTGGGGGTTTCCCCGCCCCCCGGGGGGACTTGGGAAGCCTACTGCTTCTTCATGCTCGAGAGTGAATGGCTTTTTGCCTTCTCCCACTGGAGGTGAACCTGCCTCCCACCGTTTCCTGGCTGGGACTTTTTTTTTCTATGTTGAGTGTTCCAAAGGAGGGGGGAAGGGGGAGGGAATTAAAAGAATGGAGTGGCCGGCAGAAAAAGAGCTCTGGAGGAGGATGCCCCCTCATCCCTCCCCGCCCGTGCCTGGCCTCCGAATCTCCTGTCAGGATGCTGCTATCTGACTCCAAGTTCAATACTGTTGGGGACATTTTAATTTCCTCCCCTCTCTAGCCAGCCATCTCAGGGATGAGGCACCAAGCTGGCCAGGGTCAGCTGGGCTCCAGGCCTCTGACTGACATACGTTTCTATCTCGGCAGCCTACTTGAGCCAGGAGCCAGCTGTGCTGCTCACCTTCCCCTTTCTCCCTGACAAGGACCTGGCATCAATCCGAATCCAGCTGCAAGATAGCAGACCCAGCCCTGACTTCCTTCCCCGAAAGCCCATGGGGCCCTGCAGATTAGCTCATTTAATTTAGTTTAATTAGCAATTTAAGAGCTCAAACATTGCTTCACTGCTCTCTACGTGCTGTGTACTGCACTGAGCCCCTTGCCACCAGCTTCTTCACTGGCATCTGCCATCTTTGCATATCCCCTCAACCTAGCACCCCCCAAGCACACCTGCTCAACACTGGCTCTGGCCCAGTTGGCAGAGGAGGTGGAGATGAACTCCCACTTGCTTGGGGTTCATAATGGGAGGAGATGCACCCTTTTGTGTGGTTTTTGTTGGTTTCTCAAAAAACATCTGGTTGGGTGCTAAAGAAAATGGAATGCTGGAACAGATGGGTGCCAAGTCATAGTTTGTAAAAAAAAAACAAACCTGGACCAGTCCTGGTGTTGGTCACCATACCAAAAAGGTTGAGAAGTACTGCAGTAGGGCATTAGTTCACAATGTTTTAATCCTGCATTGGAAACCAGGGCAGGTGGGTAAGAAAAAAGCCATGACTTGGATCTGCTGGACGGAAAAAGGGTGCCTTTTGCCAGCTGCAGATCTCTGACTTCCCCAAGAGCAGCTGTGAGGAAGGGAGATTTGGGGCTGCACCACGAACACAGAATTGTTCCACTGATGCAAATCACTGGTGGTTTGTACATGACAACTATCTCTCCCCCCCCTTTTGTTTTGTTTTTTTTACACACCCAAAAATCTTTATTTCCATGCTGCATCAAAAGGGGCTGGGGAGCTCAAGGGTTTCCAAGGCTCATTCTTGTAATAACAAATCATGGTTGAATGAAAGCGAATGAGCCAATGAAAGTCAATAAACATGACATAATTTGAACACTCAAAAACACATTATACAAATGGGGGGGGGATTTATGTCAGTCATCACTAACGATGATACAGGAGCACACTATATCCTTGCAACAGCACCTTACTGGAAACAAACTGTCAGGCCATGACTCCTGCATGCTGGAGTCCAGCATGTACACCCTCCAGCATCCTTTCTTTAGTGAGCCCAAGGGAAGAGGGGAGGGTTCAGCTCCACTCTGAGCCCTCTCTTACCAGTCCTTTGGCTGCAAAGGGACACCTTGGCCGTTCTTCCCTAGACTGCCTTGGGGGCAGGCCAATTCTGGACTCCCCCAAAGCCCTCTCTTCTGGCACAGGCCCAAGGCTAACCCTGGATTCTCCCAAAGCCGTCTCTTCTGGTGCAGGCCTCTTCAGGTGGACACTGCCCTCTCCTGTCCTATCTTCTTCCAAGGTTTTAAGAAGCCACTCTGCCAGCCTACACAGGGCCCAGGAGGGGGCTGCTGCTAACTTCCTCCTCCTGCCTATACCTGGGTGTGGACTGCTGTCTGAGCCCCATCTCCCTCCTGAGGTGTGCTCCAGGCCCACCAGGGTCTCAGGTCACTACTGGCACATCTTCAGGTATGGCTTCACCCCTATTTCCTTCTCCACAGCCCCTGCATGGGCACCCTGATTCAACAGTGTCTGGGTGAAGCTGCCCACAACCATACTCACAGAATCATACAGTTGGAAGAGACCTCCAGGGTCCCCTCCTCCCACTCTGAAGGGCCCTATGGGGAGTGTGGAGGTGGCAGACACAAACAAGAACATGTCTGAACATAAGAAGACCTCTGCTCCGTCAGACTAATATTCCATCTAGTCCAGCATCCTGTCTCACACAGTGGCCAACCAGTGCATCTGGACAGACAACAACAGGGCATAGAGTCCTAGGCCTTCCTCTGATGTTGCCTCCTGGCTCTGGGATTCAGAGGATTAGTGCCTCTGAATGTGGAGGTTCCCCTCAGTCATTGATAGCCATTGATAGACTTATCCTCCATGACTCTATCTAATCCCCTTTTAAAGCTTTTTATTCCTGTAGCCATCCCTACATCCTCTGGCAGTGAATTCCACATTTTAATCACTCTCTGTATAAAGTATTATTTTCTTTTATCTGTCCTGAAGCTACTGCCCATCAGCTTTATTAGATGACCATTTTATTCCCTAAGTGTTCATTTGGCGAACAATTAACAGATG